GCGCCTTTGGAGGCATCTGGATCAATCTCGGGCGGTTGGGGATTCGGGAAGGCGAAAGCACTCAGTTGTGCGAGAATCACCATGGGAACCGCGGCGGCGACGGCGTCGAGAGCGAGGAGAAGGGGAGAGGGGGTGTGGAATGGAAGAAGGACGAGGGCCAAGAAGAGGAGAGATAGATAGAGAGAGAGAGAGAAGGGAGACTGGAGGGCGAGGGATCGGGGAGCTGGAAGCCAAGTCTTTGGCACGCCAGCGCTAGGCACAGGTATAAATGCAGGGGGGGGTCGAACTTGAGAAACATGTTGAATTTCCACAAACACGTATGCATATATAGTTATATATATATGTGTGTAAATATGCATATATATATATATATACAAATATATACATATATATACATATATGTATATATATGTATATATGCATACTATATATATATATATATATCAAGCTTGGGCTCCAGTGGCTCAGTGCAGCAGGAAGCGGGGCGAGGAAGGGGAAGAGAGACGAGTGAAGGAGAGACGAGGAGGGAGGAGGGAAGAATGAGGAGAGAGGAGCCGCCTCCTCCGATTCGCCGCCATCTGGGATGTCTCGCGGCAGGCTCCCAGCAGTAGCGTTTGGGAGGCGTCTGAACAGCTGTTCTGGGGTTTCGTGGGGGCGCCTCTTGGGCCTCCTGGAGCCTCTTGGGGGCCTTTTGGGGTCTCTGGCGGAACTTCGTGAGGGCGTCCTGGAGTTCAGAGGCCTGCTGGATGCATATTGGGATCCCGGCTCCTGGGGGATTTATGGGGACTGCTGGGTGGCCAGAGAGGAGGAGAGAGGGGTCAAGGATCAGGGAGGGATGAGGAAGAGAGGATGTCTCGTGGTAGTCTCCCAGGGTGGGGTCTCCTGTGGGGCTTCTGGGGGCCTCTAGGGGGCTTCTTCGGGGTCTCTTGGGCGCTCTTTAGGCTTCTGTGAAACTGTGAGGGCTTCTTGGGCGGCTCCTGTGGGCTTCTCGGAGCCCCTCGGGAGCCTCTTTGGGGCCTCGGGGGTGCCTTTTCGAGCGTCTTGGCGGCCTCTTGGGGTTTCTCGGGGCGGGGCTCTTGGGGAATCTCTTGAAGGCATCTTGGAGCGTTCTTGGGGATCATGCGCAAGCCTCGGAAGCGCATTGGAGGCGAAAATGCGAGATCGCAAGCATCATTGATTTTCTGGAGGTTGTTCAATACTTTTGGCCTCTCGAGGGCTTCCTTGGAGGTCTCTTGGGCGGTGGTGGGAGCCTATTGGAGGCCTCTTGGCACTGTCTTATGGAGTGTCTCGGAGCTGTCCTGAGCCGTCCCGAGGCTCTCCTGGGGCCGCCTGGGAGGCCCGGGAGGGTCGTACCGGGATTTGCCCGAGATGTCATCGAGGTGGGGGTCGGAATCCTGGGGGGGGGGGCGTCTGTAAAATTAAATTGTGCCGAGATATACCTAATTATATAGGTATAGATATATCTATATATAGAGAGAGCGAGAGAGAACAACAAGAGAGAGAGAGAGAACAGAGAGAAAAGAGAACCAACCAAACGAAAGCGCCTGGAAATCTCCATGCGAAGTGCCGTGAAGGCTGTCCGCAGCGAGCTCCTCCCTCTTGCGGGCTCACTCGCAGTCCCTCTCCATCTAGCTCGTGCACTCTCGAAATATCCCTGTCCACTTTCGTGTGTCCCTCGACCTCGCACTTTCCGCACTACCACACCCCGCACTCCGCTTCCCAGCTCTACCCCTGTCGCGTCGCCGTCGCAATCTCTGTGTGCGCGTCCCACTCTCTCCTCCTCCTCCTCATCCTCCTCCTCCTCCTTCTCCTCCTCCCTCCTCCTCCTCCTCCTCCTCCTCCTCCTCCTCCCTCCTCCTCCTCCTCCTCCTCCTCCTCCTCTTCCTCCTCCTCCTAGCCCTTCTGCGCTCGAGTAGCGTTGCAGGAACAGTTCTTCAGAAGGGCCCGCGTTCCTGCGAGCCTTTTTCGTTTCTGCGGGCGGAGTCCCGCGCTTCCTACCACGATACCCATCCAGTTGTGTGCGCGATGGCTGTGCCTTCCCCAGCAGCGGCGAACTGGGGAGGGCCGATCCCGCCTTGGCAGCTGGAGGCGCAGCAGCAGCAGTATGCCCAGTCCTTCAACAAAGGCAAAGGATTCGGCAAAGGAGGCAAGACAGGTACTACGTTCGGTGGAAAGGGTGGCGCCCAGCACGGCGATGCACCTTCATCGAGGTGGACTTGTCCGAGTTGCGGCTGCAAGAAGAACAAGCAGGCTTGGCAGCAGTGCAAACACTGCTGGGCTTGGCGTTCGTCACCATCGTTCCAACAGCCCGCCGCTCCTCGCGGAGTGTGGGCACAGGGGCCGCCGCCCCCAGGGACATGGGTTGCTAATCCGATGCTGTCTCCCGGTGGTGCTGCTCCTCTTCATCCTGGCCCGCAAGTTCCAGGCGCAGGAGGAGCCCAGCTACCCCCCGACGAGAACACTCGGATTGCATCACTGGTACAGTTGTTGCGAGCCCAAGGTGACGAAGAATCAGCAAAGCGGTATCAACACAAGCTCGACGAGATGGCCGCAGCCAAGAAGGTTGAGCCCCCCTTGCAGCAGAAGGTCAACCAGGCGTACCACAGCATGCGGAGCTTGGAGGCCCGACTGTCCAAAGCGGTGGAGTCCTTCGAGCGCATCTCCAACGAGCTGGTCCAGGCCCGCGCCAATGTGGAGTCAATTACTTCGCAGTTGGAGGCCTCGGAGAAGCTACACAAGGAGCTGGTGGAGCAGTTGCACCAGTCGGTGGATGATCGGCCTCGGAACCCCGAGGGCTCTGTCAAGCAGGAGGTCAAGATCTCCATCTCTGACCTGCTTGGTGGACAACCGCTACCCATTGACATGTCCAGCCTTTTGGAGTGGGAAGCAGACTACGACCTCAACGAGGAGGACAGAAACGAGGCTGCGGCTCGGCTCAAGACACTCAACGACGAGATACAGAAGCAGGCGAAGAAACTCTTTGGTGCCGCGCAGGCTCATGCTGAACGCGTTCGTAAAGAGATGGAGGAGCAGAAGTCACGCTTGGCTGGCAAGAAGCGGAAGGTTCTTGTACCAGGTGCCGCTGCAGGAGCTGAAGATGATGGTCCGCATGTGGGTCATTCAGCCACTGCGCAGGCTCCTGGTGGTGAAGCTCCGGAGGCTGGTCAAGAGTCGACTTCCCCCACGGCGGCTCCATCAAGCGGTACGGGCGCGCCATCGGCGAGTTCTGATGCCAAGGCGCGTGCAGCCAAGATTTTACAATCAGACCCCCCCAAAGGTGACAGCGCCTGAGGGGGGGAGCCAGCGAGATCAGAATTTTTTGACTTCTTCCAACGGAGGGGGTACCTCCCCCACAGCAGCCTGTGTGTTGGCCAGCCCTGAGTGGATCTCCCAGGGCACCTCTGAGTCGCATGCGGTCTCTAATACTAATTTTTTGTGGGCCCACAGTGGCCCTCTCGTTCGGGCGGTTCAGCATACGTTAGCCAGGGCCAAGGGGGCCCTGCTGGCGAATGGTGTTTCTGCTCGGCCGTCGAAACCTATGACCCTTAGGGGCCCGCTTTTGCCTGGTGTTCCTCCCAGGTCCGATGTGCAGTTGATCAGGCCCATGGAGGCCAATGCTTTTCCTCTTGAATCTTTTTCGCCCTCAGTTGAAACCTGTAATGTCTCAGGGTGGGGGCCTGGCCAGCTCTGGTTACTGAAGACTAGTGCTGATATCGTGATCATGCAGGAGCATAAGCAGTTGGCTAACCAAATCGATCCTGGTTCTTCCTGGGCTAGACGCCACGGGTGGAAAAGTTTATGGAGTGCTGCTGTGCCTGGTGATGGTCAAGGCCCGTCATCGGGAGTCGCTCTCTTTGTTCGTGATGGGCTTGGTCTGCGGGCTCCTGACTCTGGAGCTACCATTATACCGTCGAGGGCTCTGGCAGGCATCGTCGAGGTGCCTGGGCAGCCCACGTTTTTGGTGATGGCCGCCTACTTCCATGACTGCCAGGACCTCTCGGATTCAAACATCGATATCTTGTGTTCGTGTTTGTCCCTGGGGGAGGGCCTCGGTTTCCCTTTTTTCCTGGGCGCGGATTTTAACATGGAGCCTGAGAAGCTCCTGACTGGGGGCCTGGGGGACCAGAAAAGCATCCAGTTCCTGGTGCCTGAGGGTCACACGATGAAATCTGTTGCGGGTCTTAAGCAGTACGATTTCTTTATTGCCTCCTCTGACTTGGCCAAGACGGTCAGCAGTGTGCAGGCCATCCGTGACACCAACCTCTGTACGCATGTCCCAGTCAGGATTAGCATGCATCCGCAGTTCGGGCGGTTGCAGGCTTTGTCTTTTCGGAAACCCCCTCCGCTGCCCACGTCGCCTCTCCCGCCTGTGTGCCTCGTCGCCGCTTGTGAGCCTCCGACGTGGCTGCATGATGTGCTGGACTCGTCTCGTAGAGCGGCGACGGTGGGGGATTTCGAACGAGTTCAGGACTCGGTTGACTTGGTCTATAAACACTGGGCGAATGCTGCCGAGCGTGAGGTCTCCGCTGCCACGGGTAAGGTCCTTCCTGTTTGGGGTTCTCGTGGTAAGCCTCCCCAAATGTGCTGGCGCCCAGTGCTGTCCAAGGACTCTGGCAAAGGCGATGGCACACTGTTTGCTGCTAGGTGGCTGACCAATCTCTTTAGTGAGTTCGAGTGCTACTGGACCGTGGGAGACCAGTCTGGCATCGGACGGGTGCTCGAGCGCCTGGAGCAGCCACCAGCTCAGTGCGCCGCTGATCTAGGCCAGATGGAGAATTTTAGGTCTTCGCTGGAGGAGTTCGTCCGCGAGCTCCCGATGTACGAGCCAGCAGACGGCCCAATGCTTGATTTTTTCCATCACTTGCATGAGATGTGCCGTGACATGCTTGTGAATATTGAGGCTGCCTCTAGGAAGCTTGCCAGGAAAGAGTTCAAGGAGTGGTTACTGTTTAAGGTGAATCGGGGAGCCCGAAGGGTCCACACCGTTTCCAAAGGAGCGACGCCATGGGTCCCCACCACCACCCTGTCCTTGGACGGAGTGGTGGTGGCGGACCCCTTGTCGTTGCTCCAAGCTGAGTCCAAACGTTTTTCCGACCTCTGGGGGGATGCTGGTGGGGGTCCCTGGTTCCATGTCGGTGAGCTTGCCCCTGAACTTCCTGAGGTTCCTGTGGAGGCGATACGTGAGTTTTCCAGGCGTTTCAAAATCAACACTTCTGTCAGCGTCGACGGATTTCACATGCGGCATTTCTCTTTCTTGAGTGATGAGCTGCTCAGAATTCTGTGTGGTCTGTTTGCCGTGATGGAGCTCACGGCGCTGATACCGAGACAGGTGGCCATCACTCTCCTTACGTTGATCCCGAAACCAGCTTCTGGTTTTCGCCCGATTGGGAATTTTTGTGCGATTTACCGTGCTTACGGTAAGGTGCGGAGGCCCCTGGCCCAGGAGTGGGAGTTCAAAAACGCTCGGAGTTTTTTCGCGGCTGGGCCCTTCGAGGGGGCCCAGGACGTGGTGTGGAGACAGGCGGTTCGTGCGGAGACCTCGACTTTGAGCAAGGATGAAGCCGCAACGGTCCTGCTCGATCTTTACAAATATTATGAGACTATTGATCTCAAGTTGCTCCTGTGGCGTTGCAAGCAGGTGAATTTCCCCCTCGCGATCGCTCGGCTCGCGATTGCGATGTATCTTCAGGCTCGGTTTTTTGTGTTGAACGGGTTTGTGGATGGGCCCTTCTGGGCCTTGGGGGGAATCATCGCGGGGTGTACGTTTGCCACCACGTTGATCAGAGTGTACTCGATTGCTTCCCTCGACATGCTGTGCATTCCGCCACAGGTGCATTTTAAGTTGTATATCGACGACTCTGGCCTCAGTGCTACGGGGTCGCGGCGATACATTGTGGAGCATCTGCCACCGGTGGTCAGAGCCTTGGTTTCTATTCTGGAGGAGGGGATCGGAGCTAAGGTGAGTCAAGATGTGGGAAAGAGATCCTTGATCGCTTCTTCTAAGGCGCTTGGGCGTGATCTCGCTCAGGCACTAGGTGGCCTGGCTGGCCCCTTAGTCAGTTCAGCGGCGAACCTAGGAGTGGATGATTGTGTGGGACGCCCTAGACGTGTTGCTGGTAGGAGCTCGAAGCAAAAGAATCGTGAACAAAAAGCTCGGGGTTTTGTTTCCCGTTTGGCCCGCTTGAGGCCTCTGGTTGGGGCCCGTGTGACCAAAAACGTGTTTGCCTCGGGAGCTTTGGCCTCGGAGCTTTTCGGATCCGAAATATATGGTGTGAGCGACTACGAGCTGTTGAGATTGCGGCGCCAGGCGGCGTCAGTCTTGCAACCATCAGCGTCTGGAAGATCGCTGACGGCTCTTCTTCTTTCGCATGGCGAGCCGTGTTGGTATGCGTCGGTCGCTCCGATGGTCAGATGGTCGAAGGAAATATGGATTGCTCACCATCGGACCTACCCCCACTGTCTCTCGCTCCCCGTACTCAGGGAGGCCTGGGACGTTGGTTTCTCGGGAGACTCCCCTTTGTGGCGGTCGGTCTCGGGGCCGATCACGGCGTTGAGAAAATCATGTGAGCGGATTTCCTGGTCCATGCCTTCCTTCGCTGTTTTTAGAACTGACAAGGGTGAGGAGGTTAAATTGACGGAGTTCTCGCCTACTTTGATTAAGAATCTGCTTCGCAAAGCTGTTGTGAGAGGTCTCGAGTGGGACATGGGGGCTCGTCTGAACATGTCTGGGCGTGTTTGCACTGATGGGGTCCTTAGTTATCTCCAGAGCACGAAGTATTCTGCCTTTGAAAAAGGCTGTCTGAGGGCGCTTTTTTGCAACGCGGTGTACACTCGTACGCGTGCGGCAGACCTAGGCTACCAGCTGCAGAACGTGCTGTGCCAGCTGTGTGGCGAGGCGCCTGACACGCTCCGCCATAGATTGTGGGACTGCCAGTGTCCTGATGTAGTCGAACTAAGGAACTCGATTGTGCCCATAAAGATCCAGAAGTGGGCGAGCCAGGTGGACGACAACTTGGCTGTCTTTGGGGTGTTTCCTCACCCGGGTGATGTTTTCCTGCTCCGTTGGATAAAGGTGGTATTCAGGTGGAGTGGGCCCAAGGAGAGGTTGGGGACCTTCATAGTGTGTTCGCTGGAGACATGTTCGTGGATGGATCGTGTTCGCGTTACATTGTGAAAGAATTGAACCGAGCTGGCTGGGCCTTCACTTTGGTTGACAGGGAGACTGGGCTTGAATTAGTGAGAGTCAGAGGACCAGTTTGGGGGCCATGCCCCCAGACTCCACAAGCAGCCGAGTTTTTTGCCATGTCTATCGCCATTCAGTGGAGCACAGGCCAGTGTGACATTTTTTCGGACTGTTTAAATGTTGTGAATTTTTTCGGGATGCCCTGGATGGAGCAGATATCAGCCAGGTATATGTTTGCTGGCGTGGCTCAGTTTGCTCGTCCGCACATGCACAAAGTCACGGTATCCAAAGTGAAAGCCCATCTTGCTGTCGATGAAGCGGTCGACGAAAGGGATCGCTATTTAAGACAAGGCAATGCGTGGGCTGATACCTCGGCCAAGGTTGCGGCATCCTTGCATCCTGCCCCGTCGGACGAGTTGCGTGAGGGCCTGGATCTTTCCGTGGCCGTGGCCCGAGCTGTAGGACGTTTGGGTGCTAGATTAATGTCCTTGTGGCCTAGATTAGACTTGGGCAAAGATTTAGAGCGAATCAAGCCACCTGCTAAAGAGCAGGCTCCTGCGAAACCTTCACATGAATGGCATTGGGTAGGCTCGTATTGGCAATGTGCTACGTGCTTGCGTGGTCGTCGTGGCACGTTTGGCGTCGAACCTCCTGGTGGGTCATGCTCGCTCGCTTTGCATGTGCACCCGTCAGTACTTCGTGATCTAGGGCATAGATGTGTGCTCATAGACTGTACGGATGGTAGTTTCGTTTGCATTTGCCACAAATGTGGTTATTACACGTCGGGGGGCCGGCTTGATCGCCTAGGTAAGAAGTGCGAGCCTTCGAAACGGGCCTCGCATTGTAATCCTTGGAGTCGTCTCCAAAAGGGCCTCCACCCGTCATACAATAAACCAGGAGTGCGGGTGGATGTCAATACGTTTTGTCAGGTTTAATTGTGCCTTTGCTCAGGGTGTGTGATGCGGTTCACTTTCACGCCACTGCTGTTGCACGGCCCTTGCTCGCTGCTGCGCGGCCACGGGGTGAAGGCTCCTTGTGGTGACGGCGGCACAGCGGACAGTCTTAGGCACTTCGTTTGCGAGGACGCTTGCGGCGGCGTCCTCGTTTATCCTCCTCCCCATGTTGCGCTGGATGCTTGTTGAAAAATTTGGTCAGGAACTTTCGCCAGCACGGCTGGCAAGGCTAGTCGGCCACGGGCTGAC